CCCTTCCCTCCCTCCCACAGCCAGCCCCCCTGGAGATGTTACCTCGGTAGGTCAGGTTCGCCGGGTAAGACACTCCACTCGGGACCACGTCCCCATTGGCCTTCTGCAACCCAGGAGCTGGAATAGAAAGAAAGTGCATCAGTCTTTGTGGCCCAGGAAAGGGCCCAAGGCAGCCTCCGGCAGAAATATCCAGGTGCAGGATTTTGAACATGCTAAATGTGCAGGGAAGCTCCCCTGCCGGCACATGGGAGGCCACGAGAGCAAGAAGGAATTGGGGCCGAGAGTCTGCTTTCTGTTCAGGATTGTTTATAACCAGGCCCCAAGTTCCTTTCACCAAACTTTTTAAAAAGGCTCTTAGCCACAAGGTATAGACAGGGACTCTCAGTCTGGGGCAAGGGATGCTCTGTATTCTTGGTGCTTCGGGGGGGGGGGCAACAGTGGGAGGGCTTCTAATGTCCTGGCCCCACTGCTGGGTGGACCTCCTGGGGGCACCTGGTATTTCTGGCCACTGTGTGACACAGAGTGTTGGACTGGATTGGCCATTGGCCTGATCCAACATTGGCTTCTCGTGTGTTCTTATGTCTGAAGCAGTGATGCTCAGTATTCTTGGTGCGTGGGGGGCCACAGAGGGAGGGCTTCTGGAGTTCTGTCCCCTCTGGCGGACCTCCTGATGGCACCTGGTATTTCTGGTCACTGTGTGACACAGAGTGTTGGACTGGATGGGCCATTGGCCTGGTCCGACATGGGCATATGTTCTTAACTTGGGGGCCTGACTTTGAGCCCTGGCTTCGCTGTCACCCCTGCCAGAAGACCCCACATCAGAACCTCCCTCCACACACCTGGGTCTGCCTGGCATAAAGGCACAGCCGTCTGCGGAGTCCCCCAGTACCCACGGCGCTTCCAGAAGCATCTTCCCCGGACCAGCCTCCCCAGAGCCACACTCCTCCCCCCTCCACCCCTCCGAGCTCGGCCCCAACAGGCACCCCCCTTTCCAGAACACAGGGCTCACCGGAGCTGGTCTGTGCCACTGGCACCCCCTTGGTCCGCCTCCTCTCCCGGCACCACCGGTTCACGTCCTTGAAGGAGAAGAGCTTGAGGAAGAGGATGGTGTGGACGGCCAGAGTAAACACGGCCCCAACTGGGGAGGCAGAGAGAACAGGAGAGGGGAGTCAGGAGCCCACGTGTGGACACATGGATACAAAGCGGCCTCCTACCGAATCGGACCATTAGCTGGTTCCTCGAGGTCAGTATCGTCCACTCAGACTGGCAGCAGCTCTCCAGGGTCTCAGGTGGAGGTCTTTCACATCACCTCCTGCCTGGTCCTTTTTAAGTGGAGATGCCGGGAATTGAACCTGGGACCTCCTGCACACCAAGCAGGTGCTCTGCCAGAGCCAGGGCCCCTCTTTACAGCTCTCCAGGGTCTCAGGCGGAGGTCTTTCACATCACCTCCTGCCTGGTCCCTTTTAACTGGAGATGCTGCCAGGGATTGAACCTGGGACCTTCTGCACGCCAAGCAGGTGCTCTGCCACTGAGCCACAGTCCCTCTTTACAGCTCTCCAGGGTCTCAGGCAGGGGTCTTTCGTGTCACCTCCTGCCTGGTCCTTTTAACTGGAGATGCTGGAGATTGAACCTGGGACCTCCTGCGTGCCAAACGGAGGCTCTCCCACTGAGCCACAGCCCCTCTTTACAGCTCTCTAGGGTCTCAGGCGGAGGTCTTTCCCATCACCTCCTGCCTGGTCCTTTTTAACTGGGGATGCCTGGGATTGAACCGGGGACCTTCTGCACGCCAAGCAGAGGCTCTGCCACTGAGCCACAGCCCCTCTTTACAGCTCTCCAGGGTCTCAGGCGGAGGCCTTTCACATCACCCACCACCTGGTCCTTTTAACTGGAGATGCTGCCGGGGACTGAGTCTGGGACCTCCTGCATGCCAAGCAGAGGCTCTTCCGCAGAGCCACAGCCCACAGGGGAGACGTTCCACACGCTCAGGCTCAAGGCCTGGCAGCCTCTTGCTCTGCAGGCACCTTTTCAGTCTGTTGGAGACTGGGGGGGGGGAAGCTCTCCCCCCCCGGATTTCTAGGGACTCCCCCAGCTCATTCCCCCAGAGCTCATGGGGGGGGGGGCTCTCTCACCTGGAGTGATTGATGTCACGGCCAGCACCACAAGTGCCGGGAAGCACAAGATTGTCAGGAGGTTGATGGTGTGCAGGACAGTCCCGCTGCGCTCCGACAAGCAGCCCTGCAAGAAGCAAGAGGACGCTGGGTGGGGGCCCCACTGGGAGCCCCCCACCCACCCCCTTGATCCTGGGAAAAGACCAGTGTTGGGAGGCTGGGCACAGGAAGCGGCCCTACTGAGACTGACAGTGGCTTCTCCAGGGACCCAGGGTGAAGTCTTTCCCATCACCTACTGCCTGGTCCTTTCTAACTGAGGATGCTGGGGATTGAACCGGGGACCTTCTGCATGCCAAGCAGAGGCTCTTCCACTGAGCCACAGCCCCTCTTTACAGTTCTCCAGGATCTCAGGCAGAGGTCTTTCCCATCACCTGCTGCCTGGTCCTTTTTAACTGGAGATGCTGGGGACTAAACCTGGGACCTTCCGCATGCCAAGCAGATGCTCTTCCACTGAGCCACAGCCCCTCTTGGGGTCTCAGGCAGAGGTCTTTCCCATCACCTGCTGCCTGGTCCTTTTTAACTGGAGATGCCGGGGACTGAACCTGGGACCTTCTGCACGCCAAGCAGAGGCTCTACCACTGAGCCACAGCTCCTTCTAGACAGCTCTCCAGGGTCTCAGGTGAAGGTCCTTCCTATCACCTCCTGCCTGGTCCTTTCAACTGGAGATGCCGGGGACTGAACCTGGGACCTTCCGCATGCCAAGCAGAGGCTCTATCACTGAGCCACAGCTCCTTCTTGACAGCTCTCCAGGGTCTCAGGTGAAGGTCCTTCCTATCACCTCCTGCCTGGTCCTTTCAACTGGAGATGCCGGGGACTGAACCTGGGGCCTTCTGCATGCCAAGCAGAGGCTCTACCACTGAGCCACGGCCCCTCCTCTAAGTGTTGGCTCCCAGAACAACAGGGACCGATATCATGAAGGAGGCTCAGGAGCACACACCCCCAAGGCCACTCCCGCCAGCCCCGGACGCCAGAGGGGCCATGTGACAGCACTTACCGTGGCCAGCTTCTTCTCCGTGTGCAGAGCCGCCAGCGCAAACACATTGGCCACTGAAGACGAAACACAAACAGGGGGGGGGGTGTCAACCCACGCAGTGTGGCGGGCAGAACTCCGGGACGCCCCAGCCCCTGCTCAGCCCAAAGCCCCCCACTCACCAATGACAAGGCACGGGGACGGCCAGCTGTAGGGGTCCTTCAGGAACAGGGAGATGACCTGGATGGGGTCCACCAAGATGCCGTACCTGCGGGGGGGGGAGGGAGGGAGGACGCCGGTCTGTGAAATTCCCCCCCGTCCAGGGGCTCCCCCCCCCCGACCCAGACACAATTCGGGTCAGGCTACTGCCGCATCCAGAAAAGCGACTCCTGTTTGCACATCTTAAAGGGGGGGAGGGGGACAAAGGGAAATCTACTCTGTCTGAAACCTACACTCATATTTCCTTACAGGACATTACACATGATCTGCTTGACACTGAATCAGACCCTCGGTCAAGCAGAGAGGCTCTTCCACTGAGCCACAGCCCCCCCTCCTTGTTTGTTCTGCAGCCTTTAGCTTCATCATTAATTTGCAAGCTGCTTCTTATTTAAGAAAAACAGGAACCCTATTTTACAAACCCTGCCAGCTTCTTGGGAGACTGCGTCCAAAAAGCAGACCGTGGGTTCATTCCTGTGGACTGCAGTGTCCCTTTCGAGCCACATGGGGGCAGCACCAGTATTCCCGCTAAGCTGAGTGTGAGCTAGCTTGGTTTTTTAGCCTCCGGCTCACAGATTTTTGTCTTTGCTCGGGAAGGAGGGCTCCAGAACAAACTAATTCATGCAGTAGTTAAATCACTGGCTCACAAACTTTTAATGCCCGTAAGCTCACAAAGTAGAATTCTTGCTCACAAGACTCCACGGCTTAGAGGGAGCATTGCTCCAGAGCAAACTATTTTATGCAGCGGCCAAATCGCTCACTCACAAATTTAATGCCCGTAGCTCACAAAGAAGAATTTTTGCTCACAGGACTCCACAGCTTAAAGGGAGGCTCTACCAGCCTTCCTGCTCACCCCACAGAGGGGAAGGCAGGCAGGACCCTTTGGGCTCCCTGGGCCAGGGCTTCATCCATTGCTCCAGCCTCTCCACAGGGCCTCAGAGCTCCAACCGGCAGGCCTGCGAGAAGGGGACAAAACTGCATCCTGCCAGCGTCCACCCTTGCAAGAGAAAAGCCACCCGGATGTGACCACAGTCCTCATCCCAGCAGGGGCCTCATGAAGCTGCTTTCGACTGAATCAGACCTTCTGGTCCATCCAGGTCAGTACTGTCTACTCAGACTGGCAGCTGCTCTCAGGCGGAGGGCTTCCACAGCACCTCCGACCCGGTCGTTTCAGCTGGAGATGCTGCCGGGGATTGAACCTGGGACCTCGTGCCTACCAAGCAGAGGCTCTGCCACTGAGCCACAGGCCCTTCCCAAACAATTCTCCAGGGTCGCAGGCAGAGGGCTTCCACAGCACCTACTGCCTGGTCCTGCCAACTGGAGATGCCGGTTCACTGAGCCTGGAACCTTCTGCATGCCAAGCAGACTGCATGCCAAGCCACTGAGCCTAAAACATGAAGCCAACAGTGAGATAACTGGTCCATTGAAGACAGTATTGCCTCCTCAGACAGGAAGCAGCTTTCCATGGTCTCTGGCGGAGGTCTTTCACACCACCCACTGCCTGGTACTTTTTAACTGGAGATGCCGGGGACTGAACCTGGGACCTTCTGCATGCCAAGCAGAGGCTCTGCCACTGAGCCACAGCCCCTCTTTACAGCTCTCCAGGGTCTCAGGCAGAGGTCTTTCCCGTCACCTCCTGCCTGGTCCTGGAGATGCTGCCAGGGATTGAACCTGAGACCTTCTGCATGCCAAACTGGGGCTCTGCCACTGAGCTACAGTCCCTCTGCAACCTCCAGGGAAGGTTCCCAAGAAAAGGCTGAGACCTTGCAGGGAAGGGGTGCTGTACAGCAGGGCTGTGGAGTCTTTTCCCGAGGAGCGCTCTGCCAAGCACCAGGCAAGTCCCGCACTTACTTGATGAGATTCTCCAGGAAGAGGCGGGCGTTGCTCAAGACCTGGAAGCAGAAAGGCAGAGAGTCAGGAGCAGGAAGGGAATGGGCAGCTTGGATTGCCGGGGATGTGTCCGTGCTGCCCTCCCTCATGAGACCAGAAGAACCACCCTGCTGGATCAGATCATCTAGTCCGGCATCCCGTCTCACACAGGGGCCAGCCAGTTCCTCTAGAGGGCCAACAACAGGGCAGAGAGGCCGAGGCCTTCCCCTGATGTTGCCTCCTGGCTCTGGGCTTCAGAGGATCACTGCCTCTGAATGTGGAGGTTCCCCTCCGTTACTGTGGCTAGGAGCCATTAACAAACTTATTCTCCATGAAACTCTCTCATCCCCTTTTAAAGCTGTTTATTCCTGTGGCCGGTGTTCCCTCTAAACTGAGTTAGTGTGAGCTAGCTCACAGTATTTTTAGCCTCCGGCTCACAGATTTTTGTCTTCGCTCAGGAAGGATGGGGCTCCAGAGCGAACTAATTGATGCCAGCAGCCAAATCACTCGCTCACAGCTTTAATGCCAGGAGCTCACAAAGTAGAACTTTTGCTCACCAGACTCCACAGCTTAGCGGAAGCATTGCCTGTGGCCAGGGATCATTTCGTAGAAAAAGAGGTGCAGGAACTCATTAGCTAACTCGTTAGCATAACTTATTTGCATATGCCACACTGCCTGACATCACCGGAAGTGTGTCAGAAGGCAACACCCACCGCTCAGGCTCCACTGGACTGTTTTTGATTGCTAGCCGGGGGGGACGGGGACGTGCAGATCTGCCCTGGCAGAGGAGGGAGAGCTTGTACCTGAATAAAACTTGGTCTTAAAGGTGCCACTGGACTGTTTTGGGCCGGGGGGGGGGGCTCTGCATTTACTTACCTGGCTGCTTCTTGCTCTGACTGAGGGCTGCTGGAAGCAGGGGGTGGGGCTTGTTGGATGTGCCCGCCCCTGGGCTCTTTACTGCCGGAGCTCCGCTCCTGTGCACTCCTGCAGGAAATGACCCCTGCCTGTGGCCATCACTCCATCCCCTGGCAGTGATTTCCTCCTCCCCCGGCTCAAAGTCACAGTTTGGCACAGTACAGAAAGTGATGATGAAGAAGAGGAGATTGGATTTCTACCCCATCCTTCCCTCAGAGTCTCAGAGCGGCTTACAGTCTCCTTTCCCTTCCCCTCCCCAAAACAGACACCCGGTGATGAGGAAGCAACGGGGTCTGGGTCGGCCGAAGAGAGTGGCGGCAGGAGAAATCCCGCCCCGGGAGAAGAGCCCCCGGCTGCCGCCACTGGCTGGTTGGGTGGGACCCTGCAGTCCTGCCCAGAGGAGCACCTGCCTCCAGTGCAGGAGGAAGACGCCACTGTGAGCAAACCGAACCTGCCGGATCCAAACCGACACTTAGGTACAAGAAACCAAAGGCACAGATATAGAATGGGAGGGACTTGGCGTGACAGCAGCACATGTGAAAGGGATCTGGGTGTTCTGGTTGATCACAAGCTAAACATGAGCCTGCAGTGCGATGTGGCTGCGAAGAAAGTGAATGCAATCTTAGGACGCATTCAAAGAAACATCGTGTCCAGATCACGGGAGGTGGTCGTTCCACTCTATTCTGCTATGGTCAGGCCTCACCTGGAGTACCGTGTCCAGTTTGGGGCACCACATTTGAGGAAGGATGTTGACAAGCTCGAGCGTGTCCAGAAGAGGGCAACCAGGACGGTGAGAGGGTTGAAATCCAAGTCTTACGAGGAAAGGCTGAAAGAGTTGGATCTGTTTAGCCTGGGAAAGAGGCGGCTTAGGGGGGACACAAATATCTGAAGGGCTGTCATGTAGAAGATGGAGCGGATCTATTCTCTCTTGCTCCGGATTGCAAGACTAGAATTAACGGGTGGACTAGAACATCAGGGTACAATGCCAGCGAGTCTCCACCCGCCAACGCTGCCGCTGGCTCCAGGGCAACTGATCTCTCTGACAGGGAGACCAGCTGTAAAACCGGGAACTCTCCAGGCCCCACCTGGAGGTTGGCGAACCTAGGTGGGTAAGACAGCCACATCAGTTGGTGTTCACTGGAAAGCCGCTGGGATGGGCTGTCCGCGGTTGCTAGTGAGAGGTAAAGGTAAAGGTTTCCCTTGCTCGAAAGCCAGTTGAATCCGACTCTAAGGTTACAGGGCTCATCTCTGTTTCCAAGCCGAAGACGTTTCCGTGGTCATGAGTAGATGCCGAGGCGCACAGAACGCTGTTCCCTTCCTACCGAAGCGGTACCTATTTATCTACTTGCGATTTCTTGCTTTCAAACTGCTAGGTTGGCAGGAGCTGGGGCCAGAGATGGGAGCTCACTCCGTCATGCGGCCGGGCAGGTGAAACTGCCTTTGATCCAGTTAAAAAAGGTAAAGGTCTCCCTTGCTCGAAAGCCAGTCGAATCCGAATCTAGGGTGGCGGTGCTCATCTCCATTTCCAAGCCGAAGAGTCAGTGCTGTCCGAAGAAGTTTCCATGGTCATGTGGCCAGTAGGACTAGATGCTAAGGTGCACGGAACAACGCTGTGTGACACTGTAATTTCAGTTCAGGAGACATATGGCTCTTTCAAGTGTTGAGAGACCTTCGCAGCGGACCCTGAAGGGCAGTCAGGACTATGACACCAACGTGGCAGATGTGGGGCTGGATGCCGAGAAAGCTGCTCATCTCAGGTCTCCCAGAGTTGTCAGCAGTGTTCCCTCTAAGCTGAGTTAGTGTGAGCTAGCGCACAGCTTTTTAGCCTCCGTCTCATTTTTGTCTTGGCTCAGGAAGGATGGGGCTCCAGAGCAGACTAATTTATGCAGCGGCCAAATCGCTCGCTCACAACTTTAATGCCAGTAGCCCATAAAATAGGATTTCTGCTCACAAGACTCCACAGCTTAGAAGGAGCGTTGGTTGTCAGAGGGACCACCCAAAGGGGGCACCAACTCCACCTGCTGTGCTACGGCAGTTCCGAGAAGTCTGCCAAAGGTCTCTTACTCCACACCAGGGAACCGGCAGACTTCGCTTCTGTGCACCCATCCTGCCCCCTGGGGTACAACCGAGCGCCCGCGCCAGATTACGATCGAGGCGACACCTTCCACTTGCCCTCTGCGAGGAGCAACAGCCA